AGCAGCCCTCCTCTGCCCCGTGCCCTGCCAGGGTGAGGTGATCCCACGGGCAGCTTGCCCAGGCTGGATCTGCCTGCCAACCTTGGAGGGAGGGATAGGAGCAGCAGAGCAGCGTTTGCAGGCCTGGGAGATAAAAGCAGTGCAGCACAATGTCTGCACTCAACACTGGGGCTTGTTATCTCCCCTGGCTCAGACCGAGTCTGGAGGATGTTTCCATGCAGGGCTCAGCTGATTTAGCAGTGGAAAAAGGAGCTCGGCACAAAACATTCCAGTAAATCCTTCACCTGAAAGTTGCCTTTTCCTCCCTGGTTTCCAAAGAAGTCGAAAGTTGTGTTGGGCTGGAACCAGGTGAGCAGAGAAGAAGGGTTAAATGATTTACAGCCTCAAGAAAATTGGAAGAAAACATGATGTGGAGGATGCTGGATCAGTCTGTCTTTATATTTCCTACCTGTTTCTGTGCCTGACCCCTCGTTGCACATCTTTTCTCTAACCTGTGAGCAGGGATCTGAGCCTGAAGAACCCAAACCCAGCTGCAGGGTGGCAGGTTGGCACATGGCTGTACCTGGCCAGATGTGCCCAAAGGTAGCAAGTGCTCCTCGGCATGATGAGTGGAGCAGGATGCCAGCCCTGCCAGAGGGGATGGGGAGAGCACTTCCTCCAAAGGAAACTCATCCCACAGTGATTCCTGGATATCCCTGACCTGAGAGTCCCAAGGAGAAAAGGAAACTCATGAGCAGAAAATATAAATCTCCCTTGGTGCCAGGGCTGGCAGCCCAGCACCCTGGCTGAGCTCCCCCTGTGCCTGGGCACCTCTCTGGATGTGGCAGAGGGTGGGAGGGGGACATCCCTGCCTGGGGCCCAAGATAGCCCAGCAGCTGCCCGGGACCCCAGCCAGGCACCTGCCCTGGGCAGTCCCTGATTTGGATGTGACCTTTGAGCCTTGCACCACTGCCCAAGGCTGGGGACGTGGCCAGGGTCCCTGGTGGAGTGGGGACCCACCCCCACACCCAGTCAGCAGCAATAGGAAGAAGTGGAACAGCTCCTTTCTGCCCTTCCCTGGCTCCTGGTTGCACCCACAGGGCAGCAGGGGTGCTCCCGGGGAGTGGGTGGGAGCCAGGAGTACCCCATAACCCTTCTGTCCTGTCTCTGCTGCAGTGAGGCTCCATGACAGCATCTCCGAAGAGGGTCACCACTACCTGATATTTGACCTGTGAGTAATGGTTAGAAGTGTCTCTTAATCCACCAGCAGCTGCATGCTTCCACCCTAGGGCATGGGTCCTGCACCCCCACCCTGCCCCCCGAGCTTTTTTGCCCAGCACTCCATCTCATCCAAGCCTTTCTTGGGCAGGGTTTGAACCCAGTTTGGGACCCTCAGGCCAGGCAGAAGGCAAGTCCCTGCCCTGCACCCCCAGTGCTCCCCCCGTGCACAGTGCAGTGACATTTCAGGGGGCTTGGCCAGGGCTGAGGGTGCTGTAAGTGAATCCAGCTCCCTCGCGTGCCGCGGGGACTGGGCGTGACCCCCCGTTTTCTTGCAGGGTCACCGGTGGGGAGCTGTTTGAGGACATTGTGGCCAGGGAATACTACAGTGAAGCGGATGCTAGGTGAGCACAGACAGACACTGGGCCACGGAGGGGACAGCAGTTGTCTCTTTTTCCTGTGAGCTGCTCCCTCCCTGGGTCCTACGTGTCTGGCTTTCCACAGCACAAGCTCCTTCCACACTGGGAGGTGTTTTACAGCTGCTTTGCAGCACGTACTTGTAAACCAGATGTGTAGTGCCAAAAAAAAACACCCAACCAACTCTTTTTAACTCGCTCGATTCCTGTGCCAAGAAATGCCTGTGTTACCAGAGAGCTGGTCCCACCTCGACCCAGGCATCTGGCAGCCAGCACTGGCAGCATCCTCCTTCCCCAGGCTGGTGGCACAGCCCACATCTGGCATCCTTGTGAAGAAGAAGGGACAGTAGGGTTTGTTGGGCTGGGGATGATGGGGTGTCTTGGGCTGGCAGGGAGGAAGCACAGCATCAGCCTGGTGGCCCAGCCAGGCGTGTGGCAGCACAGACACCCTGCAGTCCTCACCCTTTCCCCTTGCAGCTGTATTGCAGTCCCTTGCAAGAATTTCTCTGGCCTCATCTCCCCCCTCCCATGCTCCCACTGTCACTTTACAGGGACCCTGCAGCAGAAACAGGGGCTGGGCACTATTTCAGCCCCCACCTTTGGTCCTTGCAGCTTGGCCAGGAGACAGCATTCAGCTCATTTTATTGAGGGGACATTATCTGGCCCTCTCCAGGCTCCAGATGTATCACTGTGCCTCTTGGCTTTGCCAATTGGAGTGAGGCATAGCCCATACAAGTGTCCAAGGGAATGGTGAACTCCATGCTACCTCTGTCTGGATGGAAATATCCCTTATTTCTGGGCAGAAAGCAATCTCATTTAATGGGCTGCCCACACTCAATCCACTTACAACCCATCCACTTATTAGTGTCATACAAATAAAATAACATTAATGTAAATAAAGACCTTCTGCCTTGCACACAGCTGTTTGGAGCAGAAGTGATCATTGCCTTGGTCTTTTTCCCTTCCTCTCTCACGCATGCAGCAGAGCTGGGGTTTAATGAACTGAATATAAAGCCAACAGAGGCAGTGAGAGCCCCTTGCATTAGAGGAGCCTGGGGAAATGGGGGTGAAGAGAAGGTTAGCTCCATGTCTGAGGAGCACGTCTGCTCTGCCTGGGTTTGGAGACCAAATCTGGGCTGGTGTTGCATCTCCACCTCCAGTCCCCAGTGTTCCTTGGAGACTCTGTGGCCCCTGAACTCCTGCTCACAGTAGCTGTGTGTCCTCTGGTGAGGTCTTACTGGGTTACAGCTGCTCTCCCCGAGTTGATGGCTTTTAGTGGAGAGGGATGCTGGGCTGTGCTGCAAGGCGGGTGGTGGGAAGCACGATGGGGAGAGGGACAGGGGAGGTGAAATGCAGCCAAGTAGAAGTGTCTATGGAAACTCTGAGTTGCTGGACACTTCTGTGAGCTCTTTCCTCTCTCCTGCAGCCACTGCATCCAGCAGATCCTGGAGGCCGTTCTGCACTGCCACCAGATGGGGGTGGTTCACCGGGATTTGAAGGTAAAAGCTTCAGGAGAGATTCCTGTGGAAGGAGGTGGGGACCCCATCTGTGATGCAAAACCCTGTGCAGCAATGCCCAGAGTCCTCCAGGGCAGCTGAAACAGTGGGGAGGAACACTGTGCAGGGCTTCTGGAAAGCCACAGAGCAAAGACCAGCTCCAGGGTGAAACAGCACAAGGCAGAGGGGTTAGTCCTTGTAGTCCATGGTCCTGTAAGGATCTGGGGACACTGGGACACACAGCAGGACGAAGCAGTTGGGGAGCACGTCCAGAGCCCCAACCTTCCTCTGTCCTGTGCTGGGAAGGTCCCGCACAACAACAGAGCCCCCAGGAGGGGTTTGTTCCTCTCTCACCCCCATCTCCTTCTGCAGCCTGAGAACCTGCTGCTGGCATCTAAGCTGAAGGGTGCTGCTGTCAAGCTGGCTGACTTTGGCCTTGCCATTGAGGTGGAGGGGGACCAGCAAGCATGGTTTGGTGAGTAGGACCACCCTGAGCTGGGGCATCCTCCAGCCCTTGTTGGTGTGTTTGGGGGGAGGCTCCAAGAGGGACAGACATCTTCCAGGATCTATGGGAGTGCCCTGGCAGCACCAGGCTGGGAGGCACAGAGGATGAGGAGTTTTATGGCTCCAGCTGAGCCCCCGGAAACACCCAGTATTGATCCAGGACACAAGCAAACAGCTCTGCAGGGACTTGGTGAGTCACCAAGATGCCCTGGTGAGCTGGATGAGCTGGTGGCAGGGGGAAGGAAAGCCTCATCCAAGTGCTGGAGGTGCATACCAGAGCACTCCCACCTCCTGCACCATCCTGAGGTTTGGATGCTGCCATGGGCAGAAAGCCATGGCTTGCTGTGCTCTTGGGAGTCACGGAGGTTTCTGGAGGGAGGGTGCCCGTCCCGCTGGGCCGGTGTGTGCCAGGGCTCTTGCAGCAGCTGGGCAGGCTGGGGGGGTCTGGGCAGGGGTGGCACTGCCTGCCAGCTGCCTGTGACAAGGTGTCTCTCCCAGGTTTTGCTGGCACCCCGGGATACCTCTCCCCTGAGGTGCTCCGGAAGGATCCCTATGGCAAAGCTGTGGACCTCTGGGCTTGTGGTAAGTCTGATTGGGACTGAAAGCCTGGGAGTGGGCTGGGCTGCATGGGATGAGGCAGGCTCTTGATCCAGTTGCAGCCACTAGAGACATCTTGGGAAGATCAGGGTGGAGGATTTACCCAAGAAGTGGCATGTTACCCTGGGCTGTCCCTTTTCCCAGCCCAGTGGCACCCTTATCCAAAGGATCAGCTCCCTTGCTATGCACCCAAAGCCCCCAGGCAGGGAGGTGCTGTCTCTTTTGCCCGGCAGTGCCCTTGGAGTCAGGCAGTGCCTCCATGTAGCTGCAGCCAGAGGGAAGCCTTTTTCACCTGTGACGGGGAGGAGGCATTGCCCAGCCCTGCCTGGCTTGAGGCTGTGCATGGTGGCTGCCAGAGCCATGTGTCTGGATCAGCCACGTTGTCCCCAGTCACTGAGCACATCAGCACAGAGCTGGGCCCACCACTGAGCCTTTTGCTTTTTCATCAGGGAGCAAATCCTCCTGTTTCCAGATTTCTCAAATTCTCTGCTTGAGTTGGGCCAGTCCCCAGACTGGGTCTGCTCATACCTCCAGCAGTGAACTGATCCCACTGATCCTGCATCTCCTCTTCCCTGCAGGAGTCATCCTCTACATCCTGCTGGTCGGGTACCCACCATTTTGGGATGAAGACCAGCACCGACTCTACCAGCAGATCAAGGCTGGGGCTTATGACGTGAGTCGGTTTCTCTTGCTCACCCCTTTCACGGTCTCCACTCTCTCCTGCTGTCCCCATGTTGCAGTCAGCTGCTCCAGAAGAGCAACCAGGGCAAATTCAGACAGGAGAGAGCAACTTTCTTTGCTCTGGTCACAGAGGATTGGCCAAGCTGCCGTGCCCAGGTGCACACATCAGCACGTTTCAGGTCCACTTTGCAGGACACATAGATCTTTCACCTTTCTCCCTCCACCCCTGCTCTCCAGTTTTCCAGCTGCCAGCTCTTTTCCAGTTGCTACTGGCTCTCCAACCTGTCTGATGGGCAGGAGCAAAGGGTTGCAGGAGAACCAACCCAAGTGCAAAGGGACTTCTGCTCCTTTTGTGGCTCCCTGCCATTTCTTACCTCAGTACCTTTGCTTTGGCAGTTTCCCTCCCCTGAGTGGGACACAGTCACTCCAGAAGCAAAAGATCTCATCAACAAGATGTTGACCATAAACCCATCCAAGCGCATCACGGCAGCAGAGGCTCTGAAGCACCCCTGGATATCAGTGAGTTTGGTGGCACTCACCAGTTGGGGTCAAAGATCTAGAGATGTGGGGGGAACATCTTGCTGGGGAGAACATGTTATCAAACATGCTGTCCAGCTCTTTTTTCCATCCTGAGAACACTGCTAAGCATGGATGGTGACTCGAGGGGTTAACTCAGAGGGCAGCCAGCTCTCCCTGCAAGCCCTTCACCACCAGAGCAGATCCTGCAGACTCCAGAGATACCATCTCCTGCTGTCTATGAAAGTTTTAGCTGCTGCAAGCAGCTCTTGCTGTGGCTCAGGGATGTGTGTGTTTGTGTGAGAGTGGGGCTGGGGGAGCCCCTTCCCCCTTGGCACCTGCCCTGAGCCAGGTCTCTCTCCTCCCAGCACCGTGCCACCGTGGCGTCGTGCATGCACAGGCAGGAGACGGTGGATTGTCTGAAGAAGTTCAATGCCCGGAGGAAGCTGAAGGTAACTCCCATGGTCCTTCCAGCTGGCTGCGAAATGATGGGTAGTGGGAAAAGAGAGGTGGTGTCTCTGGGTCGGGGGCATGGGGGTGGTGGATGTTTGGGAATTCCTGTGGTGAAGAAGGGAAAAGAGTCCAAGTGGTGGCTGGCATCTGGCTGGAGCTCCTGAGTGCTTTGAGGAAAGCACCGAGTCCCACAGTGCCTGAACACTGGGGCAGGGACTTTCCCACGGGAATCAGGGTTGAGAAAGCTCCTCTCTGGGGCAGGATGTGGATCTGAGAGGCACAGTGAGACTCCTTTGCCTGATGACCGAGACAGGTTGCAGCCAGGGAACAAAGTTATCCACAGACAGGCAAAAAGCTCTGGCTCACCCGCTTCCCTCCCAAAAGCTGCTGTGCCCAGACCCCTCTGAAACCACCATCTCCCCAGGCTTCGCTGCCAAGCTGGAGCACCTCCTTGGAATGCCCATCTCCTGGGTGTTGCTCAGCCCCAACTGGCAGCACGGTACTGGGAGCAGGCTCTGGAAATCATGATGCTCCTCCAGAGCCAGAGACACAGAAGAAGACAGCGCTGGTCTGCCCGGCTGTCAGAGCCATCAGTGCTCCAGGCCTGACCATGGTGTAGCACAGAGCAGTGCAGCTGCAGGCTGCTAATGAGATTATCAAGAAAAGAAACTGGCTATAAACTATTATTACTTTTCAGCTAGACAAGTAATCAAATTAGTTCAGGCATGCACTTCAAAATAGTGATCCATTACTGTAAACAATTAGTCCAAAGTAATCTCATTATGAGCTGAGGAACTAGTCAGTAGAGTCAGCTGGAAAAGGGGAAACATTTTTATGAATGTTGTTTTGCTATGTTGGTCCTTGTGTGGCTGCCATGAAAAAAATCCCTGCCCCAGTCTTAGCTGGCATGGCTTTAATGGCAATTAAATCCAGTTCCACTCCTGGTGGGTCCCCTCACCAGCAGCTGCTGGCCCCGGTCAGCAGGGTCATGCTACATCTCAGACAGGGCAGAATGAGACCAAAATGCACTCTGGGGATATTTAATACCCCTTTAATCTGAGAGGAAAGGCAGTTTTGGAGAATGCAACCCAATGCCCTGGCACTAGGGATACTGAGTCCGGTACCTGCTTTTGATGGCAGGAGAAGAATACCAGCCCGTGGGCTGGTTTCCTTCCAGCGAGGTGGCTGGAGGAGGGACAGGTGACAAGCAGGGCTTTCCTCCCCCAGAGCTGGGGGGAGTGATGGGGATGTGGGGGCTGGGGCCCAGCATGTCCTTTCCTTCTGCCTTCTGTCTTTTAGGGAGCCATCCTCACCACCATGCTGGCCACCAGGAACTTCTCCGGTAGGTGCTGTCACTGGGGCTCATCTCCTTGTCTTACAGGGTGCCCAGGGAAAAGCCACAGGGTCGCTGCAGAGATGGCTTTGCCTTGGGTGTCACAGCAGGGCTGAAGTTGCAGCCTGGTGTCTCTGGGGTTGTGTGGTATTGGGTGATAGTCCAGGCCAGGACACCTAGTACCTCCAGGCTAGCTACTGGCTTGGGGTGCAAGAGAAAAGGTGCCTAACTGAGGCACAGCCTTCTCTAGAGATTCAGATTTTTGGGGTTTACATGTACCCAACCACCTGGTTCATGCTGGGGGCAGCCAGGGCTGCAGGCAGCTGTTTTTGTGTTCTCATGGAGATGTTTGTGGCTCAATGAGAGCGTCATCTGCACTGAGAGTGTTGGAAAGGTCCCTGGGTGCCACAGCAGCCAGATGGCACAGGCTCTCTCGGGTTCCTCTGCCTCACCCTCCTGGGAGCCAGCCTTGTAGCTGGTGTTTTACAGACTGGGATCCTGCTGGTTCCCAGGCGTGGCACCAAGAAGGAACCAGGTGGCTGTGGGGGTCATCTGCTTGCTGTCCCCTCCTGGTGCTGGGGAGGGCCCTGGCAGAAGGGCTGCAGTGGTGGGACAAGCCAGCTGAGCCTGTTATGTCAACTGAGCAGGCTGTTGGCAGCCGCTTGGTGTTAGCTGTGTGTTTTGGGGTGTTTCACTGCGGCGCCCCAGGGATCGGGTGCAGCAGGTGGGCAGGGGGGAGCAGAGGCTGCTGGCCCAGCCAGGTGCCTGGGGAGCAGGGCAGGGCTGGTGTCTGCATGTGTCGCGAGGGGATCACACTGACACATTTAGCACTTGTGGGCAGCGAGCGGTGGCTG